GTCCATATGCAATAACGCGGAATTACTCGCAATTCCTCCACCACCAGTAAACTGATTATTAGCAAAGTTATCTAAATAAAATGTACCATCAGCTGTTGGTTTTGAATAAAAGCTTCTATTAGATACGCCATTTACCTGTCCTGTAATATTTGGTAATCCTGCGGCTATTGTTGAGCCTGCTGCGTGCGAGCTACTTGATCCTTGTAACACTCTATCTTGAGATACTAATTCCCATGTTCCAAAAAACGCACTCATTGGACATGTAGAAGTTGTTCCTATAAATATTGCACCAACTGGATAAATTGCTTTTAAAACATTTATTACATGAGCGGTTGTTGCAATTTGAGTGTCGTTTAGTGTTGCGCTTGATGGTGTCATTGTTTCGGTCCATTTTGTCTGACCATCTTGACTAATCCATGTTCTAATTTCTGGGGAATAAATATTTTGTCCATTTATCCCGACAGATGATTTCATTCCTATTCCAATGTTTCCACCGGCATCATGATATACTTCTAAACTACCAATTCTTTGATTGTTTTTATCGTGAGCCATACCGAGAGACAAATATTCTACTTCACTTGGTATTTGTGTTGAATCTATTGTTGTGCTTTTGTGGTGTACTCCTCCATTTAAAAAATATTTACCACCCTGTATTGTTTGTTCTCCAGAAGTCATAACGGCGGCACCAATACCATCGGCTTTATTGCTCAAAAACGCATCAATTTCTTCTCTAGTATATGTTCCACTCATCGTACCACTAACATCGTCTGTAACAAAGCATAACCAATCTGGATGTACTGTGGCTATATTTTGATCAACGAATTCTTGGTTTGTACCGATCCAATCAAAAACCTTTGCTAAATTACCAGATGCATTGGGGTTTTTATTTAATGTTCCGTGTGCTTGTATTTTTTTTGCCGAATTTGCTATAATTGTAGAGTTATCACCAAGAGATTCGTTTGATGATAGTTCTGGTAATGCTGCAAAAGTCCTACTACCATCCCCGACTTTTATGGTATCAGAATCAGAATACGCAATTTCACCGGCTGCAAGTACTTCGTTTATATTACCAGGTCTTTGGGTGTGTCTAACTTCTTGTGTCATATTTGGATTATCTTTTTTATATTTGAACTAAAATTAAATACTCTGAATTATAGAACTGGGATTTGAGTATTTTAATGTGGATTTCTTGTTAGTTCTATTGTATATTAAAAGATATGATATATAAATTTGACAATCTTTGGAGTTATATAAGCAATGAAAGTCCTGAAATAATAGAAAGGGCTAAAAAAGTATTAACTAAATTTGATTATGACTATGAAAGAAAGAGTTGGAAAGAGACTAGGTTTTGGTATATACACTCTTACATAAACGGAATTGAGACTATAAAATTTCCAACTGGATTATGTGAATATGTTAGTAAAAGTTTAGGAATAGAGATAGAACATAAAAGAGATCAAGTAAAAATATATAGAAAAGAAGATGTGTTAGAGGTTGCAAGAAAGGTAAAACAAATACTACCAACTTTTGAGGTTAGAGATTATCAAATAGATTTAGTGTTGGCTTCTGTTTCTAGATATGCTTCTTTGATTGTTTCATCTACAGCATCGGGTAAAACTTCTACTATGACTTTATTGTCTTTATTGTGGAGAAGGAAGAAAACATTAATCATAAACAACCAAAATTTTATATTGAAACAGATTTATGATAGATTTGTTAGTATGGGAATAAGTGAAGATGAAATAAGTATGAGCATAGAAGATCTTAATAAACGTATTCTTATTATATCATCTCAAACTTCTTATATTAGACTAAAACAACGCGATGAGAAATATTTAAAGTTTTTAGAAGATGTAGAGGTTATAATATGTGATGAATGCGCCCACTTTCAATCTGCATCTCATTTTTCTGTATTGTTCTTTACTCCAAATCTCAAGCACTTAGTGGGATATACAGCAACGCCATTTAAAAACCCAAAAGATCCATATAAAAACGTTGATGATATGACTTTGATAGGACTTTTAGGGGAACCAGCTATAGAATTTTCATTACAAGACTCAATCGCAGGAAATAATGTAGCACAACCTTATTCTTATTTTATCAACTATAAGTCTTACCCTGTTCTTTATCCTACCAATACACCATTTTTTATTCAATATAGAAGATCTGTTGTATATAATAAAGCAAGAAATAAAGCTGGAATAGAAATGGTAAAATATCTAAATAAAAATAACATAAAAACTCTTGTGCTGTTTAGAGAAGTAAAAGGCCATGGATTAAAAGTAATGGAAGAACTAACAAAATCTGGGGTCAAGTGCTTATTTTTACAAGGCGGAGAAAAAATACATGAATATGATGAAAAACTAAAACTACACACAAAAAAAGGAAATACAGACGATATAAAAAATGCACTAAACTCTGATTATAATATTGTTTTAGCCTCTCAAGTTATGGACGAAGGTGTGGATATTTCTCTTTTTCAGGCCGGTGTATTATTTACTGGTGGACAAAGCGCAATAAAAATAATTCAACAAACAGGACGAGTAGCTAGAAAAAAACAAAATAAAGAAAATATAGCTCTTATAATAGATTTTAATGATTCAGAGGTAAATACTGTAATGAATAAACACTATAAAGCCAGAAAAAAGACCTTGGAGAATAATGGTGTAATTGAGTGCAAAACTGTTCATGAGTTCTTTGATGTAGTTGATAAAATGAAGTAAAAAAGTCCCTTAAAAAGACTAAAAGTAACTTCTAAGAGGCATAAAAGCTACTAAGTCTTCAGCTTAGTAGTGTTTTACTTATTCTCAAACCTTTTTCATACACAAAAGTTTCGAGTTCTATAATAAAGCAATTCAAACTAGACAATTTTCGTCATGATCAAAGGTTTTTTTAATGGCCACTATATATAAACCAATTATTACCAGGATTGACACAACAGCAAACTGGAGAACACTAAATCCCGTACCTGCAAATGGAGAACAATGCATTGAAATTTTAGGCGGTGGGTTATTTAAATTGAAAATCGGTGACGGTGTAAGCCCTTGGATATCATTAAATTATTGCCATGGACAGCCAGAAGATTTGACAAAACTAATCACACCAGAAAAAAAATCATTAGTTGATGCAATAAACAGTCTTCAAAATCAAGTAAATACAATAAATTCAAGACTAAAATCAATAGATAAAACAATATACTTTTATGAAAAAGTTGATGATTATTTATATTATACAGATTTTGCAGTTGACTCTACAGATGAAGCTTACGCAATAGAATTTTTTGAAAATCTTTTGCACAATAAAGATACAGAACAAACACAAATTAGTTTTGGTGGAGCTTGTTCAAGTATTCGAAAAGGCAATTTTTATGGAAGAAGTTATGATTGGTATTACGATAGAAAACCTTCTTTTGTGATTCATAATAAACCTGTTGATGGAAGATATGAATCAATTGGTGTTGCACAATCAATATATGACGAATTAGCCGTTCTATCCAATTTACAGCATCAGTAGCATTACTAAAATGATCTAATATATATTTTGGTAACATAATCTGACATATATAATCAAAGTTGAGTGGGTAAAACAACTGGCACTCATGCTGACTTAGAAGGTGATTATATATGTCAGATTATGTTACCAAAATATATATTAGATCATTTTAGTAATGCTACTGATGCTGTAAATTGGATAGAAAACGAGGCTAAAATCTACGCACCCTACAATGCAAATACAAAATTAGAATTACATTTTATGATTGGTGACGCAGAAAAAACATATATTGTAGAGTTTGTAAACAATGAGGCTGTAATATTAGATGTTACAGATACAAAGCAAGCGATAATGACTAATTTCTATAAATACAATACACTATACGATGAAAATGGTCATATTGATTTTGATTCTGTTACAAATTATGGTGCAGGTTTAGAAAGATACAATACGCTTGTGAATAATTATGATTCAGTAAGTGATGCAACAAGCATGAGAGTGTGTATTGATTCAGTTAAATATACGCAATCTTACACCTTGATTTATAATGATGATGGAGAAGTAAACCCTGATTGTTGGAAAACAGAATTTGCTGCAGATTATAGTGACTCTAAAATATTGCCACATCCAATGGACTTACATGCTAATTCTCCACTAGAAGATTATGTCAATTCTGGTGTTTTAGGCTTGGTATATCAATTTTACCTAAATAGAAGCAGAGATGAAAAACCCGCAAGAACATGGCAAACAGTTCATTCTTCTGTTTATGATATTGAAAATAGAAAACTTACACTAAGAGTGCAAGAACAAAACAAAGATCATTATTTCTCATTCCCTGTTAAGTGTAAATATTTTGCCGGAAACGGAATAAGAATCAGCGATGGTAATGTAATTTCTTCTACTGGCGGCCCAACTCCAACCCCAATAGAAGAATATGATCCAACAACGGAAAAATTAGAAATAAGAAATATAATAGTTGTTTCTGATGCTGATGGTGATTTAGTTCTAGACAATGTAAATGGGGAAATAATACCAATATATGACGAAGAAGGTGGGGGACACGAAACAGATGATCATGGAGATATTTCATATGATGGTGATATTGTAGTTGCGTCTGATGATAACAATGAATTGGTTTTGGATAATAATAATGAAATCCATCCTGCCGATATAGATGAAACATATGACAAACAAAATGAAAATGTAACAACAAATATGACAGTAGTCTCTGATGATAACGGGGATGTTGTTCTAGAAAATTCAAATATGAAACCAGGAGTCTAATATGTCACAAGAAGTAAGACATAAACAGGTTATCAAAACATCTCAAGAATGGGGGAGAATCAACCTATGTGCTTCAAAATGGTGAGTTGGGTTATGCATCAGATATAAAAATTATCAAAGTAGGTAATGGAACAGATCTTTGGACAAACTTGCCAAATGTTAATAGTGAAATAATATATGACCCAACAAATAAAAGACTAATATTACAATAAAAAGGTAGGAAAATGGCCACTCATATTATAGAAGAAATTGAAGCAGGTGGTGACGTTTATACATTGCATGGTAAAGCAATGGTAAACAGTAATAATACAAATTCAACAACACCATATGTTTATGATTGGGTTGGTACTCAGGCAGAATACAATACACAACAAATAGAAAACTCTTCACCCAGAATGGATTTGTTATATTACAGATGATATGCAGGGTGGTTACAGTGTATACACAAAAACAGAAACTGATGCTATAGTAGTTCATAAAACAGGCGACGAAATTATTTCTGGTTGTAAGTCGTTTTCCGGTGGTGATAATGTATCCGCTGTTGGAACAGCTCCGATAAACATTGTTGATATTAATCCAGATGGTACTACAGCAGGAACATTACAGTATAAGGACATAGTATTTGGTGATACAAATAATATTAGAATTGGTGTAGTTAGAGCTGGTGCAGATACCAATAATAGAAGACAAATTGGATTGAATGTATGTAGTAATACAAATACAAATTTAGGTGGTATAACCATAAGTTGTGCTGCAGATGGTACAGATGTTAGGTGCAATCTTCCGACAGAAACTTATGGTACAAATTTTCACGGTACATCAACTTCAGCAAAATGGGCAGACCTTGCTGAAATGTATGAATCAGATAAAACATATTCAAAAGGTACACTCATACAATTTGGCGGCAAAAAAAGATATAACAATTGCTAAAAATAATAAGTGTAATGGTGTAATTTCTGCTGATCCAGGATTCGTATTAGATGCAGGAAAAGAAAACTCATTACCAGTAGCACTTTGTGGTAAAACTCCCATAAGAATAATCGGCAAAGTAAAAAGATTTGATAATATTACTTTAAGTGAAACTTCTGGTGTTGGGCGCATTGCATTAGATGGCGAAAAAGTAATTGGTAAATGTCTTGAAGCATCTGATGTAGAAGAAGAGAAATTAGTAATGTGTGTAACAAAATTCAATATAGATTAAGGTTGAAAAATGCCAAACTCAAAATTAAGACAAATACAAGTTGGTAGTGAAGTATATGATATTCAGGCTGATTCTGTAGAAAACCAAAATCACGCTACCGGAGCTTTGTCGGATAAATTTGATTGGATAGGTACACAGTCTGAATATATAGATCAAGACATAGAAAATCAACATCCAGATTGGTTTTGTTATATCACAGATGATGTTACAACAGACAGCGGAGAAATTGATCTTAGTAATTATGCAAAAACATCAGAAGTAAGCTCAGCTATAAATACATTATTATCAACACTATATCCTGTTGGGAGTTTATATATAGGCACACAAACAACTTGTCCTTTGGAAACATTGATACCTGGTTCAACTTGGGCAAAGGTTGCAGGGGATAAAGTATTGCAAACATCAAGTTCATCGCATAATCCAAACACCACAATAGAAGCAGGATTGCCTAATATTACTGGTTATTTATCAACTGGGTTTGTACAAGCACAATCTGCAGAAGGTGCATTTAGTATTCGCCTTCCAAAATTAAATCGAAACATGCCAAGTGGTTCAGACACATATCAATCTGGATGGGGCTGGGATTTTAACGCTGCTAATTCATCTTCCATTTACGGTTCATCTTCTACAGTTCAACCACCAGCATATGTAGTAAACGTTTGGAGAAGAACAGCATAAAGGAAATAGGTATGAGCGTTAGATTGGGAAACAGAATTATTGCAGGTGGAAGACCAATAAATAAGAGTGCCTTATATCTCTTTGACTTTAAATGGTCCGATCATCAAATAAATCAAATGGAGTGGTTGCGTGCTGATACTTTTACTTGGCATGATGGAACTACATATTCTGACGCTTATCAACATTTAGTAGATGATGTTGATGGAAAAACTCTTACATCTGAAACAATCGGATCAACAACAGTACAATTTTATTTGGCAGATGATGGTCATAAAATTTGTCCAAGTAGTGAAGAAGCAAATGTAGGGCAAATATTTTTAGATACTGGAGTTGCTTGGTATTATATTTTAGATACAACAAACAATCAATTCAAACTTCCAAGAACAGAACATAGTATAGTTGGTGCAAGAGGTGCTGTTGGAGATTATGTTGAGCCAGGATTGCCGAATATTGGTGGTAATTTTCAAATATCTGATAATGTTGTAGTTAATGATATTATCGCACAAAAAATCGGGGTTACCGATGGTGCATTTGCAGGTTTTGATGTAACTGCCAATTCAGTAGCAAATAGTGATAATACTGTAAAACAAGCCACATATCGCAGAGGTGTGTCTTTTGACGCTTCTCGTTCATCTTCAATATATGGTAACTCGGCCACGGTGCAACCACCTGCAACGCAAATGTATCTTTATTTTTATGTTGGAGAATTTACACAAACAGCAATAGAACAAACAGCAGGAATAACTGCAGAAGCATTGAATCAAAAGGCAGATATTTCAATGTTTCAAGTTGTCACAGCTCTTCCAACAACCCCAGATCCAAATACTATTTATTTTGTAGTAAATCCATAAAACATGAATCAACTTTTTTTCGGTTCTTCATTAGTACAAAAAGTATATTACGGGGATGAACCTGTAAATAGGATTTATTATCACAATAATTTGTTTTATCACAGAAGAATAACCTTTACAGTTGTGCCAACTCCATCAGATGCAACTGTGGTGTTAACATCTCCTGGAGAAACACAATCCGGAAATTCTATTACTGTTTATCATGGTGCAATAATAACATATACAATATCAAAAGGCGGATATGTTACGCAAACAGGAACAAGAACTCCAATAAGCGATGAACAATATCCAGTAAGTTTAGCTGAACAATATACACTAACAATAAATCCCGACCCATCAAATGCAACAGTAACACTAACCGCATCTGGTTATACACAAGTTGGTAACTCTATTGCGGTAAATCCGGGCACAACCGTTTCTTATTCTGTTTCAAAATCAGCATACATAACATCATCCGGCAATATAACGGTAAATTCAACGCAAACACAAAACATATCTTTGAGTTGTGCTCTTCCTGTAAACATAACTCCTCCTTCCGCTGATAATAGAACACAAGTAGCATCTGTAACAGGGGCAAATAATACGATTTATACTGTGCCTGCTGATGGGTGGTATTATATCGAAGTTATGGGGTGGTGGTGCAAGAAATTCTGGTGATGGCAACGGCGGTGGTATTGGTGGTTTAATAACAAGAACAATTTATCTCCACAAAGGAGCAAAATGTTTATTATGGGCTGGTAATTCACACAATGGCAACACAACAACAGGAGCATCAACAGGTTATCCGTCCCCAACAGATTATTGGGGTGGAACCGGTGCTACTGGACACTCCGAAGGCGGTGGTGGAGGTGGTGGAGCCGCTAATAATGGTAGAAATTCATCTCACTATGATGGTGGTCCTGGTGCAGCTGGATCTGGTTTTATTGCTGGAATAGATAAAAATGTTCAATCGGCCACTCTTAGTAATTCTGCTTGGACTCGCAATTTCTCATCAAACAGTTCTTTTTCAGTTGGATCATTTTCAGTATCTCACCTATGTGTAGCAATATTGGCTGGTGGCGGTGGCGGAGCGTGTGGCAACAACGATGGCGCAAGAACTACTGGAGGTGGGGGTGGTGCCTATGGAAATGGAGGAAGTACAACATATTCAACTGTTGTAGCTGCAACTTCTGGCCCTGGTGGAAGCTGGGGTATTGGCACAAATGGTAACAGATATGGTTCTCCAGGTTCTGGCGCTTGGGCTGTATTAGATTTATCTAGAAATGAAGGTGCATGGGGTCAAGGTGGCGGAACCAGAAACACCAATGGTTATTGTAGATTATATAAAATCAACGTTTAATTTTTCACTTCTAATTCTTCTTAAAAACTTTTCATATTTTAGTTCTATTTAAAGTCTTGTCGTCAAATCTAATTTTTATGATAAGATGATTAATTTTATACTATTGGTTATATTAAACTTGACCTTAGTTTTAGAATTATTATAATTTACCAAATATCAAAGAATTCTTGTGGTGATGTAAGGGTCTGCAAAGATCGTATAGCGTTACTAATCCTTAATAGATAACACCGGAGCTTTGATAGAGACATAAATTATGAATAAACCAAAAATCTATGGTATAACCTTCGTACCTCGGAGATTATACAATTTGCTATTAGCTACACTACTTGCTATAATTATAAACACATTTTGCATCAACACATTAGCAATAAATAAAATGGATGCAAAACTTGATGACAAATATGGTTCACAAAATATTGAATGCGTTGTGGATGCTATTGCAGGAGAAGCCATTGGAGAACCTGTAGAAGGACAAAAGGCAATAATTGAAGTAATAGTCAACAGAACCGCATCAAAGGATTTTCCTAATACATTTTGTGAAGTTGTGCATCAAAATAAACAATTCTCATATTTACAAGGCAACGGAAGTTATAAGTACATATATAAACATCCAAAGAAAGTATATGAACTAACCAGAATGGTTTATCAACACCTATATGAGATTGAAAAAAATGAAAAAAAGAGAGTGATTCCTGCATGTGTAACTCATTTTGATGGAACAGCATTTAAGAAGCCATCGTGGAGTTATAATATGGACATGGTAAAAGAAATAAGTGGCCATCAGTTTTATTGTAGGAAAAATGATAATAAGAAAAAATAGAAAGCAAGACAAAGTGTAATAACCGCCTTCAAGATTAGTTCTGTTGGCGGTTTTTTTATTAGAGTCCTATGTTATTATAGAGTGAAAATTAATTATGCAAAACAAAGAAAAAAATATGCAAATCATAGTTCTAGCTAATATGGTCCTTCCGGTCATGTCCAAGCTCACTACGAAATATGTGATAAATCAAGTTAGGAGCGAAAATAAATGACCGGTTTTTTGATTAAATTTTTTTACATTAAATGACATTAAATTATTTCTTTTTAGATTAAATGTATTATAATAAACTAATAAGTAAAAGGAGCTCTAGTTATTATGAGATTTCACCAAAACAATATATTTAAAGATTCTCAAGCCATATGGAAAAGATTTATAAGAACAGATTATATGACGCTTGGTTTTATTGATGTAGATTCTGAGATGATACAACCGGACAGATTTTGGATTATGGCCGAGGATAAAAACAGAAGAAGGGGTATTGGTGATAAGGGGGATTTATTTCAATTACAGATCATGGAAGAAAGATGTAATGCTTCAAAGTTGCCGTTTTTAGGTATGTTGACTATAAATAAAAACGAACAATCCCCTTACGTATTTCTACAACAATCTAAGGTATATAAAATAGTAACAAATGTAGAAGAACCAGAAGGATATGAGAATTTACCTATTGATTTAGTTTTGTTTAGATGGTTGGAAATCAATAAACTTTTTGAAAACGATGAAGAAAAATTAGAGTTCATTAAACAATACAACAATAACATTATCAGATTTGTTCAAGGTGCAGATTATAAAGCATTACAGACTCCGACATTTTATAAATCAACGGAAAAAATGGTAACAGACTGGGGAATAAATAATAAAGTTTGGAGTCAGCATGAAGTAGAAAACGGAAGAATAAAAGGATTAGTTCAAAATATACAAGAAGAAGTTCATAGGTTTTGTTGTGAAGATTTAAAAAGAGGATTTATATTAGATGAGTACACAAAAAAACCAACATTTGAACAAGGATCCGGGACACAAGAAGAATTTTACCTACTAAATAAAAATGGGTGAAGTAGTTGTAAAAAAGTGTTGAAGAAATAATGAAAATAAAAAAGTAAAGGAAAGTAAAAAATGAGCATGATAAAATTTGATAAAGATGGTAATAAAATCAAACAAAACGCTGAGAATAAAAATCATTACTTCTCGACCCCAGATCATATTGCGGATATTATGGCTGCAGAGTTTGTAAAAATATATGACGGGTCTTCTAAAATTTTGGATATTGGTTTTGGGAAAGGTGAATTAACAAAAGCATTGATTAGAGCTGGCATATCTAAAGAAAATGTTGTTGGAATTGATATAGAAGATACTGGAGAGGCAACAAAATTAGGTGTAGAGTTTTATTGTGTTGATTTCTTTTCACTTGATCTGAAATTATTTAAGTACTTCTTCTGTAATACACCATACAAGAACATGTTACACAGAACAATGATGGAAAGATGTGTGGATAATAACATGATGGGTGTTTTTATTGCTCCAAACATACCATACCATAATGTAAAATGCAAAGTATCAAAATATATCAGCAAAGAAATATGGTCAGACGATTTTAGAAAAGACTTCAAATTACCATCAACACAGATTTCTATTTTTACAGTATTAGATAAAGTTTGTAATGATGGTGAAAAATTGAAAGCTGCTTATTTTGGAAGTGGATATGCAGAATTTAAATCAAACTATCCAAAATGTCCAAATCCAATTACAAATCTTCCAAAATACAATGGACAGCCGAACTCATTGGTATTTCAACCTACTAATGTTTGGGCGGCTCCGGGGATATTTACAGGAAAGGGTGCTGCTTTTATACATGATGCCACAACCAGAAATGAAAGACTAATTACTTATGATCGTGGTGGAAAATTCTGGAATTCAGGAGATCCAAAAAATTATCCTTGTATTCAATATCGTGATGAAGAACATAAACAAAAAATATTAGATTTCTATAAAC